TGAGAAGTACGAGCATGAGAAGTACGAGCATGAGAAGTACGAGCATGTTCAGCATCAATACTTAGCTGTTGCTCCTTTTGTCTGGATTACTGCATCAATGCATCGTGTCATAGAGTGGATCAGTCTGTGTCTCTGCTCAGGTGTTCTGAGTCCAGGTTGCTCTGATCGTGGCCTTCAGCTCCTCTGAACTGTTGGCTCTGGTGTATCACATCTTACTCTTCTCAATATCTCAGATTTTCTATGGGGTTACAGTCAGGAGAGTTTGCTGAACAATTAAGAACAGGGACACCACGGTCCTTAAACCAGGTACTGGTAGCTTTGGCGCTGTGTTCAGGTGCCAAGTCCTGTTGAAATGTGCATCTCCATAAAGTTGGTCAGCAGCAGGAAGTCTCTAAAACTTCCTGGTAGATCTAAAAAAGTTAAATCTGGTCCTTTTTTAGATTTTTCTACCTGGATTATTGAGCATGCATCAGGATATTTCCTGGTAGATGCTGCGTTGACCTTGGACCTCAGAAAACACAGTGGACCAACACCAGCAGATGTCATGGCACCAAACCATCACTGACTGTGGAAACTTGACTCTGGACCTAAAGCAACATGGATTCTGTGCCTCTCCTCTTCCTCCAGACTCTGGGACCTTGATTTACAAAGGAAATGCAAAATGTACTTTCATCAGAGGACATAACTTTGGACCACTCAGCAACAGTCCAGTCCTTTTAGTCTTTAGTCCAGGTGAGACGCTTCTGACACTGTCTCTTGTTGAAGCGTGGCTTGACACAAGGAATGTGACAGCTGAAACCCACGTCTTGCATACATCCATGCGTGGTGGTTCCTGAAGCACTGACTCCAGCTGCTGTCACTCTTTGTGAATCTCCCCCACATTTTGGAATGGGTTTTGTTTCACCATCCTCTCCAGGGTGCAGTTATCTCTACTGCTTGTACACTTTTTTCTACCACATTGTTTCCTTCCCTTCACCTCTCTATTAATGTGCTTGGACACAGAGCTCTATGAACAGCCAGCCTCTGTAGCAATGACCTTTTGTGTCTTGTCCTCCTTGTGCAGGTGTCAATGGTCGTCTTTTGGACAACTGTCAAGTCAGCAGTCTTCCCCATGATTGTGTAGCTACAGAACTAGACTGAGACCATTTAAAGGTCTTTGCAGGTGTTTTGAGTTAATCAGATGATCAGAGTGGCACCAGGTGTCTTCAATGTTGAACCTTTTCACTTTCACTTTTTAATGGAATTACTGAAATAAATCAACTTTTTCATGATGTTCTAATTTTATGACTAGCACCTGTATAAGATGGAGCTAGGTTGTTGAGAGCTTTATAGGTTATAAGTAAGATTTTGAATTCAATTCTGAATTTGACAGGGAGCCAGCGTTAGCATTAAAGCACCCAGTGTACTCCCGCGTATGTCCGTTCACGCGCGCGTACACGTGTACTGTCTGCAGAGGGTTCAGACTTCATACTCCAGCGTACACCCCGAGCAGCTGCAGAGCAGCTTCACAGACAAGGGGCGTTTACCTTCGGGACAAATTGAGTTCGCTGATTGGTCATTTGCTGACACGCCTACTGGATTGATTGACAGGTCATGGGGAAATAAACGAGCGCTGGCAGCTTCAGCCACAGCGGTGTTTTGTGTTTATATGTTGTTAATAAAAAGAACGAAAAAATAAAAAAAAACAGGGAGCGCTGGCCCTGCAGTCCACACATCAGACCAGCCCCCGAGGAAATCTCCAGACCCTCCCGCAGCCACGCTGGACCTGAGTTTAATTCACTCGTGACTAATTCCTTCATTTTTCACCATTTCAGTCATGGCATGAACGGAGGAGGAAGAGATCACTGCCTCTTGGAAAAAAACTAAAGAAAACGCCAGATCAGAGATGAAGAAGGGGAATTTAATGCAATGGTGTCGCATACAAAACAGTCCGTCGCCGGGCAGTTTATTGTGCGACACCGTGTACACGTACGCGGTCGTAAAACTTGAGCTTTGCACGGACATGCCCTGGGGGGTACGCTCGTACCTCTGCGTACGGACGTGTGCGGGAGTACTCTGGGGGCTTAAGAACCTTCCTGAACTCACCTCTTCAGTGTTCTCGTTACACCAACAGTGTGACAGTGGCCGCCTGTCTTCAAACCTGGTCCAGTCTGGACACCACTTTGACCTACTCGCTCCTCCAGCAGGGACTCGTGTTCTCCCTGCATCGTTGGAGAACACTTCCACGCTGTGGGCCAGGTTACGTATAAGAACCAGGAGAGGTTCATGTTGATTCTGCTTCTTTTCAACAACTCTGCTAGTTGAGCTCGTCTTCTTGAAGCACAGACTCATCTTTAACCCAGAGGGATCATTCCAGTCTCTCCACTTTGAGAACCACGACCTTGGACTTGGAGGAACTGACTCGTTCCAGACGCTTTGCACTCTGCTTGAACCGCCTCAGTGCACGCTGAAGGTCACGGCCTAAAGACGTCAACAGAACCACATCATCTGCATATAGTAGAGATAAGACTCGAGGTTCCATAACTGGGCCTTGAGATCCTGTCCATGAAGACCACAAACGGGATCAGAGACTAGGGACAGTCCTGGAGGAGTCCAACCCACACTGAGATCCAGCTGAGGATCCAGACTTGGCTGCTTCTTCGGCTCTACAGCGTGAGCTTTTAGAAGTGACCCCAGTCTCCTGCAGCACCCCCCCACCCAGAATGCCTCAGGGATTAGTCATAAGCCTTCTCTAGGTCCACAGGTCTGGTGTGCTTTGGAGAGGCAAACTCCATGACCCCCGTGGCAGCTCTGCAAGGACGTGGTCCACGTTCTAATCTGTAGATGGATCGGGCTCAGAAACGTGCAGCAGTTTGTACGTGCACGATTAACAAGCGTGCATGTTTCAAACTGCACGAGCAGAAAGACGCTGACCGCACACGGATCAGTGTGCCTGAACTGGTGACGTGAGACTTGGTGCTCAGCTGAGCCTTGACGGATGACGTCTTCTGGTCACGCCTGATGTTGAAGCACTCAAACTGAAGAAGAAAACATCTCAAATAAGATTGTTCTGAAAATAAAAACTCTTCAACGTCCACGTCCGGGTGGTGGGCCTTTGTTGAACCAGGATCTAGTCCTGAAGTCTACTTGTCTGGTTTTAACACACAGTCAGTGTGATATTCTGACTCCAGAACTCTCCATCCAGGCCTGCTCTTGGTCTGGGTTTGATCCCAGAACATCTCATATCCAGCACCAGAGTGGTCCGGCTCATGGACACTCATGTGGACACGGTGTCCTCCACATCAATATTCCCTAAAGGACAACACGTGCAGCTGGTGGCCAGTCAGTAATGGGTCCCTCGGGTTCTGACAGGAGGTTCTGGACCTGCTCACCATGCAGTGCAGTGGTGACTTGTGGGACGTCTGGCTGTAGTTCTGTCTGCATGTGTGGAATGTTTCACAGCTCCCTGCGTTGCGGTCCACCTGTGAGCAGCTGGAGCTGTAGAAGGTCCTCTCTGAGCTCATCGTGTGTATCCAGCTCCACATGAAGTTCATGGAGCAGCTGGTGAGATCTGTGAGACCGGACCGGTCCACTGGGTGTCCTCCAGCTCTCCACCTGACAGCTTCACACAGTCCCTGATTTGAAGCCACGGTCTCACGTTTCTGTTTACGGTGACGTTGATTTTCAGAATGCTTCTTCCCATCGCTCAAACACTGTTGGGCCTGGATGCAGCTGACCCGGTACTGACCCAGTATGAGGCCTTACCTCGGGTGTTGGGCTGGGTCCACTTTGACTGCTCAGCTGCAAACTGGTTTTTCAGCTCCTGAACTTTAAGCTTGTAAAGCGGTTTTAGGAGGGCGATCCGTCTCGTGGTGTTTGTGCGTGGTCTTGAAGTGTCACTGCACGTGACCCTTTGGCAGCGCTTCCACTGCAGCTCACACAGACCTCGGCTCGTTTGTCAGCCGTCTTTTTACGCTACAATAACTCCGCTTTGTTTGAGCGTGTGAAGCTAAAGTCTCACGAGACAACGTTTCAAGTCAGCGTGCCCAAAAGTCATGTGACTACTGCGAACGAGGCCTGCTTATGTCTCGTGGAAATTTAAAAGGGGGCTGGACGCGTTATAGTCGATGCCTGGACATTAAATACCGTAATTTCTGGACTATTGAGCACACCTGAATGTAAGCCCCGCCCATTAACTTTAAAAAGGAAAAAATATATCTATAGATCTATATATATATCTATATATATATATATATATATATATATATATATATATATATATATATAGGCCGCACTAACACTTAACGGACACAAACTAGGCTAACAAGAACAGACTAATCACTAAAAGAACTATGCTAAACAGCTAACCAAAATGATTAACGCTGAACATACATTTTACCCATAATCCCTCTCTGATGCCATGTGACCAGCAGTCAACCACAGTGTTGATCACTTTCTTTGTCTTAAGCCCCCAGTATACTGCTGCGTACGTCCATACGCAGGGGTACGCACGTACGTACGCGGAGGTACGCGCGTACCCCCCAGGGCATGTCCGTGCAAAGCTCAAGTTTTACGACAGCGTATACGTGTCGCACAATAAACTGCCCGGCGACGGACTGTTTTGTATGCGACACCAATGCATTAAATTCCTCTTCTTCATCTCTGATCTGGCCTTTTCTTTAGTTTTGTTGCCAAGAGGCTCTTCTTTAATCTCTTCCTCCTCCGTTGATGCCATGACTGAAATGGTGAGAAATGAAGGAATTAGTCACGAGTGAATTAAACTCAGGTCCAGCGTGGCTGCAGGAGGGTCTGGAGATTTCCTGGTGGGTTGGTCTGATGTGTGGGCTGCAGGGCCAGCGCTCCCTGTTTAATTATTTTTAGGTCTTTTTATTAACAACATATAAACACAGAACACCGCTGTGGCTGCCAGCGCTCGTTTATTTTTTTTTCGACCTGTCAATCAATCCAGTAGGCGTGTCAGCAAATGACCAATCGGTGACCTCAATTTGTCCCGAAGGTAAACGCCCCTCGTCTGTGAAGCTGCTCTGGAGCTGCTCAGGGTGTACGCTGGAGTCTGAACCCTCTGCGTACAGTACACGCGTACGTACGTGTGAATGGACGTACGCGGGAGTATACTGGGGGCTTTACTCCTGCTAACTGCACCCCGCTCCCTGGGGGCACAACGAGAAGTGGGGGAAATGAACCACCATTGTTCCACTGTGACCTGTTGTGTAATTCCACTGGTCAGATTTTTGTTTATTTATTTAAACGGGTAGTCTCATTGTGTCACGAGGACCCACCCACCAACGTGTATTGGGCAGCTATGTGAATGCCCGGGTGTAACCAGGCTTAATGTTTGGGTGGCAGGAAGCTTGTTCTGTTTACATCTATATATTAGCCTCAGCATGGGGGCCGAGGTGGGGTAGAGGCAGGGCACGCGGCTCGGGACCCAGAAGTACCAGGTTCGATCCTCAGTCCTTGCACATCTCGTGGTGTCTCTGATCAGCACACCCTATCCCCAGTTGCTCCCCGGGTGCCTTCAACAGCTGCCCACTGCTCCCCCTGGGGGTGGATGGGTTAAATCAGAGAGACAATTTCACCATTGTATGGAAACATACAATGATGACAAGACAAGACACTATTATTATTATTATTATTATTGTTATTATTATTGTATAAGATGCAGGGTTCAAAGCCTTTGATAAAGTAGCAGCTTATAGACTGGAGATTACGGTAATTAGGGTTAAACAAACTAAACTGTGTTCTACAAAAAAACGCGATCTACCGGTAGATGTGGAACAACTGGTTTGGTCACCCTGCTCTGCTCAGTGACGTAGAAGAAGAAGAGAAACCTCCAAAGGGCTCTTGCCTGCTCCAGAGGGCAAACGGCACGTGCTCTAGCACCACTTTAAGTCTGTGCACGTCTGCGCCTCTACCGGTGGGTTTTGGACGTGGTGGTGGGGTGTCCACCACCAGGTCCGTTTTGTGAAGGAAGTGTGAGCTAAATGTGCACGGAGAAGGAATAAAGGCAGTAGGTGTTGCTGGTTGTGGTCTGGAATGATGAAGGTTTTTCTTCCAGCACCTCCTCGATCACTGCCCACACCTCAGCCCACTGCCATGAACTCTGAGTTTGGACTTCTTAAGAGAACGGTTATGTACTTTGGTCTCAGCTCTGACTAGCCTTAGCTCATTGGTTAGGTCGGAGTGAACCTTTCCTCCAGCGTAGATCTTGTTCTGGGCTTGATCTTCTGTTGATGGTTCTGTTCTGCTGGCCCATTTAGGAGCTGTGGCAGCTCTGCTGGTGGGCTGCCTGCCGGTGTCCTGGTCTCTGTGGGGAGAGCTGGTTCTGTGTGTCCTGTCCCTGCTCATGGCTGTGTGTGTGTTTGCCATGGATCTGCTGAAGAACATCTGGGTGTGTTACGGCCTGTACATCCTCTTCAGAACCATCTACATGCTGCTCATCACCGTGGCCACGTGAGTCTCCATGGCACGAGTCAAAGCCTCCATGAATGTTTCTCTCAGTTCTGTTGACTTGAGGTGGTTTTGGTTTGCTTCATGCTCATCTCCAGCACTGTTCTGTTCAGGTTCCCTCTCCCCTCACTCTAATTACTAGAACCTTTCTCTTCCAAATGTAGAAGCTAAAATTCAGGTCAAGGTGCTGACTGAGACATTTGAGACTATCCAGCCTTTTCTATTCTCCAAAGACCAGTCTGGCTTTATTGTAAACAAACGTTCTAGTTCTGTAGTACAACCATTCTTCATTCATCAAAGTCCACGCTCAGTAATCCATAACATCACCCTCGACCTGAAGAGAGCAGTCAGTCTGAGGACCACGGCCTCAGATGCGGAGGTGCTGGTTCTCATCCCAGCTGCTTCACACTCTGCTGCGAACCGCTCCAGTGAGAGCTGAAGATCACAACACGATGACAGGACCACATCATCTGCGAAGAGCAGAGATGGTATCCTGAACCAGACTCCCTCTGCATCTGGAACAGGGCGTCTTTAATCTGTGCAGGGTACAAAGAGATATCAAGACTATCCAGGCTTTTGGCTAGCAACAGGATAATGACCCAAAAGACACAAGAATGGTTCAGATCAGAACAATGGACCATTCCGAAGTGTCCTCCTGAGTGGGACAAACACCTGTGGACAGCTGCAAAAGTCTGTTACAGAAACGTTTTCATTGCAGTGATTGTTCAAAAAGGTTTAGCAACAAAATGGAGTTGAAGGTGCCATCCTCTGTGATTTTTAAAAGAATTTTAAAGAAAAGAGAATAAAGAGAAAGGGAGGGGTCAGTGAAGAACACCAGAGTTGAGCCTTTAGTCATCCAGTGTGTTCAGCAGAAAGAGACGCAAAGAAATGATAAAGCCAATAAATGAAAATGAGGTCGATAATTTTAATTTATCATGCAATTCATTGATTTATCCCCTCCCTGGGCTGCCACCTTACCGTGGTGGAGGGGTTTGAGTGTCCCAATGATCCTAGGAGCTATGCCGTGAGGGGCTTCACGCCCCTAGTAGGGTTACCCAAGGAAGACAGGCCCTAGGTGAGGGGCCAGACAAAGAGCAGCCAAAAGACCCCTACGATGATTAAAGCTAATGGAAACAATGTTTCTTCGCCGGACGTGGGTCACCGAGGCCCCACTCTGGAGCCGGGCCTGGAGGTGGGGCACGCGGGCGAGCGCCTGGTGGTCAGGCTTTTACCCATGGAGCCCGGCCTGGCACAGCCAGAAGAGGAGACGTGGGTCCCCCTTCCCATGGGCTCACCACCTGTGGGAGGGGCCAAAGGGGTCGGGTGCGATATGGGATGGGTGGTGGCCGAGGGCGGGGACCCTGGCGGTCTGATCCTCGGCTACAGAAGCTGGCTATTGGGACGTGGAATGTCACCTCACTGGTGGGAAGGAGCCTGAGCTGGTGTGTGAGGCTGAGAGGTTCTGGCTAGAAATAGTCGGACTCACCTCTACGCATGGCTCTGGCTCTGGAACCAGTTTCCTTGAGAGGGGCTGGACACTCTTCCACTCTGGAGTTGCCCCTGGTGAGAGGCGCCGAGCAGGAGTGGGCGTACTTATTGCTCCCCATCTTGGTGCCTGTGTATTGGGTTCACCCCGGTGAACGAGAGGGTGGCCTCCCTCCGCCTACGTGTGGGGGGACGGGTTCTGACTGTCGTTTGTGCTTATGCACCAAACAGCAGCTCAAGGATCCCTTCAGTCCATTCCCTTCAAGTAGGCCTGTCAAGATAACAAATTTTGCTGGGCGATTTGCAAGGATGTGAACACAGGGATGAAGATGTTCACATCCTGGACAGAGAGGAACGATGGTTTGAGAGAGGAGTAAAGGAGGCCATCTTTGTGAAAAGAAATCGTCCATCATTAAACAGGGGTGGAGCCTCCAGGTTCAACTGTCCCCCTCTTACAATGCTGTGATTGCTAGTATCACTCAGCCCTCTGTGAACAGTAAACAGCCATCAGGTGCTAATGATCCATTGTTAGGCTGATGGTCCTTCTTGAGCATGTGATCAGCTGGTTCTGGTTGTCAGCAGCAAACTGGTTGATCCACTCTGAGAAGGTGCTATTTAAGAGACTGAGCTGAAAACGGCACCTCAGACTGAGGAAGTCCTCAGGATGAGAGACGAAACGTTTCTATATTTTTTTGTTGTTGTTTTGTTTTGTTTTGTTTTTATTGGATGTCCAGAGGACCAGATTTAACTTTTTAGATAAAGTTGAAGTATGTAACTTTAATTAAAAATGTATTTTTATCAAAGTGACATGTTTTTACATATTTGTTAAAACTGTGACAGTATGGTATAAGACAGATAATCTGTGAAAAGATTGAGCTCCAAGACTCGAGGTCTTGGTCTTAACTTGGTCTCGGACTCCACAAGTCTTGGTCTTGACTACAACACTGCGGGGAGGAGGTCCTGCCCCAAGTGGAGGAGTTCAAGTATCTTGGGGTCTTGTTCACGAATGAGGGAAAAATGGAGCGTGAGATGGATAGGCGGATAGGTGCAGCGTCGGCCCGATCTCCTCTGAGCTTCTTGTTTTTGGAACAACCAAAAGCAGCTGATCAGATGATCTTAGGGCCCGAGAAGGAACGTAAGGTTCCAGAAGCTCAGAGAGGTAAAGAGGTGCGAGGCCATTTAAGCACTTGAAGGTCAACATAAGAATTTTTAAATCAATTCTAGTACGCACAGGGAGCCAGTGAAGGGAGGACAGCACTGGAGTAATATGTTCAAACCTGCAAGTTCCAGTTAAGAGCCCAGCAGCAGCGTTCTGGAAGAGCTGGAGACATGAGACGGAGGCCTGGCTGACAGCGTAGAGTGCATTACTGTAGGCCAATCCAACGTGATGGTACCAAGGTTTTACTAGCCACTGGTCCTACTGCCCTCACATGTAGAGAAGCTCCTCTGGTGAACCTGTTGGATGATCCCTCACCTTGCTTATAATCGTCCTCACTTCATGAGGAAGACCTGACATGGAGCTCCAGACCCAGAGTGATCGATGGTGGAACCAACAGTCAGCACCTTCTCGTGAGGCTCCATACTGATGGTACTGTTGGCCTGTGTGCAACCAACCAGCCACAGAATCCTGGCTGGGTTGTAGAGGATCAAATACTCGTTTGCCTCAGTGACATCGATATTTGTAACTTTGATGTCATGTTAGATTTGATGTTTTAACATCACCTTCCTGTTCCTCAGATACCAGATCGCAGCCAGCCTCAGCATGCAGCGCTACGCTCTGGTGTTTGGCGTCAACACCTTCGTGGCTCTGCTTCTCCAAACCCTGCTCACTGTGATTGTGGTGGACTCTGCAGGACTCGGCCTCGATGTCTACTCTCAGGTGAGCTGCTAAAAGACCTCTCTGTGTTACTGCAGCCAGGGGTTCTGAACTAGTTCTTCTCCCACCAGTTTCTGATCTACGGGACCTATTTTGCTGTCATCTCTGTGATCTTCCTCCTTGCCGGGCTCTGCAGACTGATGTCCATGAGGAGGTCCAAGGAGGAAGTCTTGGCTGGAGTTCAAGCAGCGTCCAACCCTCCTGCAAACGGGGAAATGTTGTACTTGTAAACACCCTTCACCAGTGGTTTGTAGCCAGCAGGTGACTCTGCTTTGACTTTATTTACCTCCTTACAAAACGTCCATCCAGCTACAGTCATGGAAAAAAGTCCTCCTCCTTTTAGTTTGAATGTTTCGTGTATCAGAATTAGGTTCAGGTTCATTTGGCCAAGTGAGAATGTTGCACTTACCAGGTGGAAGCACTTATTGCACATGTATATGTTGTACATGAATACACAACAACACAACCGAACTTGTAGGTGGAGAATGGAGAGGTGGAGATGAAAGTTAGATTAGATATACAGTAGTCCCTCGTTTATCGTGGGGTTTGGGGACCACGCCCCCCACGATAACTGAAAACCGCAAAGTAGGGATACAGTAGTCCAAGTTCAAGTAAACTTTATTGTCATTACCATTTCATGTGGTACATGAGATGGAATGAAATTATGTACACAAGTAGTGGTAGTAGGAAGTAGTAGTTTATTTTAGTATTTATATACAGGTATATATTAAGGCGTTTTAAACCCTCCCCACACTCTTGCAATGTCCCTAGCACTTTTCCAAACGCTCTAAAAGAGCACAGCATGTCATGATCTCCGCTCTCGGCCACGCCCACTTCTCCACTGCAAAGCTGAGATCCTGACTTGCTGCAGGAAGAAGCTTCTCCTGCAGCTGTGGGCTGCACACAGGTGCAGCAGGTGCTAAATAATTTTAAATTTATTTTAAATACAAAATCTAATCCGATCGTGCGGTCATCCATCAGTCAACCAATGTCATGTCCAGTCTTACTTTGAAAACCTGCGATAGAGCGAGTCTGTGAAAGTCGAACCGTGATAGAGCGAGGGACTGTAGGTCTATAATGTATATAATGGGCCAGAATTCCTGAGTCAAGGTTCTGTTTCTTAAGTAAAGGTTGAATTACAGCAACCTTAAAGCTCTGTGGTATGTTGGAGACAATTTAAGCAAATCCACATTGTGGTTCTTAATTGTGGAAATACGTCTTTAAACAGTCTGGTTGGGATGGGATCTAGCAGACATGTGGATGGTTTGGATGAGGTTATTATTTTGACAACTCGGAGAGCTCAACAGGACAAAAACATCCAAATATAAATCAGGTTCGAGTGACTTGTGACAGGGTGTTTTGGATAGTGATGGGGTCAAAGGTGAGACACTGCTGTTTTGACAGTTTTTAGAGTGTTGAGTTTAAGGTTGTTCTGACGTCAACAGCAGTCCAGCTGTTCCAGCTTTCTGTCTGTGTGCAGGTTTATCACCGTCCTGGATAATATTGTTTTGTAGTAAACAAACTTCAGGGTCTTGACAGAAGGATCACTTGAGTTGCAGTCAATTGAAGTATCAAGAGAAAACGACAGTGGGGACAGCACACATCCCTGAGGGTTGCCAGTGCTGTTGATGTATATTTCCCCAGCCTCACCTGCTGACTCCTTCTGTCAGAAATAGGGATGCACAATATTGGATTTTTGTCCAATATCCGATATGTTAAAACTTATTTGGCTGATAATTCTCTGCTGTGGAATTAAAACACTACATTATTCTACATGGTCTTTGTCAGTTTGGCCTGCTACCAAATGCAGTTGCCAAAAAGGAGGCTAAAAATGATGCAGCGCTTCAACTTGGATTATGTTTAATGTCCAATTTATTTGTGACATTTACTCTCTAACGCAGCAACGACACTCGAACAGTGCAAATTGTAAATTTTCACAAATCTAAACTCAACCTGTTCACAAGCGACAAGTGAAAAGCACATAAGTAGTAGTGCGTTAGTAGATATACTTGACAGTTTCTTAAATAAAAATGGTACCACTTTACAATAAGGCTCCCCGTATAGATGGCTAATAGTTAATAGATGTTATTAATTCCACTGTAAACACTTTATAAATCATTAACTGCTTATTATGCATTAATTAAGGGTGAGAAAGAGAAAACTGACCAGTTTCTTGCCAAATCTGTTCACCAACATATTTCGTCTAGAGCTGAAACATGAAACATTTCAGACCAAGTTCCTACCTTGTAAGCACAATAAGCATGTGTAAACCTATTTCTTTAGCATATAATATTGTACTTTATCACTGCAAGGACAGCCTTTTTAAGTTCAAACCTTTTGTCTATCCATTGTGCCGTACGACTAATCATGCTAACACACGACGTCCAAACGTCTGTGTTTAAACTCACCCAAGGTCTAACGGCTATTAGCTTCTCAATGACATCGGAAATGACGGCTTGTAACGCGAGTAAGGCTACATCCGAAAAATATCTCCGGTTGGGGACGACGTAGCGAGGCTCAACTTAGTTCAAAAATCTTCACAATCCGATATCCTCAATGAATGAAAATGGTTGGTTATCCAGAGCAATGCACTCCATCAGTTTCTGAGTGATGCCTTTTGCACTCGGGTGGTCGCAGCTGTATTTCCTAGCTTTGTCCAAAGCTCATAAAATGGACTGCTGGTGAGGTTTTGTTTCTCCGCGGTTGACGACTCTTGGCCACCATGAACTCCTGGTAATGGTGGGAATGGTGGTTCTTGAGATGGTTAATTAGGTTCAAGTGTTGTAGGACTTAGTTTTTGCTCCTTGCATCACTGACACTGAGCAGTCATTGCAAACAGCAGTTCTGTTATCAGTTTCTGACACTTGTAAAACTTCCACACCACCGACATTTTCACTTCTTCCTCTCCACCGTGATCAGACCAGGTATGCGCACGTGACGTCATCATGTTGTGCTGGCGCTGCAGGCATCCTTGTCACTGGGTTGTCATACAAAAACAGCACCTTTTTATATCGGTGTTATTTTGATGGAATGGCCGATATTTAACTTTAACGCTAATATCAGCCGATACCATGCCGATAATGTTGTGCATTCCTAGTCAGAAAGTTTGATCCACTGACAGTTTGAGATGGAGCTCATTCCTCTGAGCACTGCACAGTCTGACCTTTGGGGGGAATTTTCTAAGATGTCCACTTCTGTGCAGGTTGCCAGCTGTCTTAAATGTTTTCCTCGCATGAATAATCTTCGTCTCTGTAAAGACTCTAAAGAACTTTGACCCTTGCCAGATTGATGAGCAGCAATAGATGAGGTCATTGCTGATGTCTTTCCACCTCAGTGTTGTGTTAACACACACCTGTTGTGCTCCAGAGCAGCAAACTGACAGAACTCCTGCTTGTTACATTTTCTACAAGTAGTGAGACAGATGACGATCAGTGCATCCATACATTAGATCAGCAGTGTGTGGGTGATGTCCTTTTTATTCCTTTGGAAGCAGCACAGTGGGAAGCACTTCTTCACACACAACTTGCCTGTTTTTGTTTTTTAAATAATACCATAGTGATATCTGTCACTGTGTTTTTGTTCACTTGTGATTAGATTTGAATAATGTTCTAACCAGGTAAAGTCCAGATCAGTTCATTATGTCCTGATACATAAAACCAGAAAACTGAAAGCAGGTGGACATTTTTCTATGACTGAATGTGGTAGTTGAAAAACCAACAGAGTTTAGTTTTGTTTACAAGTTCTGTCACCAAAGAGTGTGACAGAGTGGAGCTGAACACCCTGGTACTTGGCCTTTGTGCAAAGCTCCGCCCCTTTTTGGGTGTAAATGACCCCCTCACACTTCAACTGGCAGAAATTGGAACACGTCGTATTTGCTATTAACAGTATCAAGACTACAGTATTGCTTTCAAGCTTTTCAGTGTTTAAATATTATGGTCTGTCATGTTTTAAGACATTACTGTCACTGTTGATCAAGAATTTGCAGTTTTATATATAAAATCTTTCATAAATACCAATTACAGATGACCAAATAATTTTATATATAT